TCATAGTAAGTAAGGTGAAATTTACCTGGTATCATTTTTAACTTTAAAAAATGCTTAAGATTTCTGTAAAACAAAAAATTACTGTTCAGAAGTGTTAAGTAATTGTACCTTTTGACTTTTTCAGATCCAGTGAGATGCCTAGCCACCTAGTTGTCATGTGAGTACTAACTTCAGGCAGTCTCTCAACAAGAGTGGAATTGTATTTTTAACTTCAAGTCACATTTTATTTCAATTATGAAAATTGAATGATAGAAATGATGGAGACGCACAACTATCCTATGTGGTCTTTGTATTCGTCTTCAATCGTTTCTTAGCTATAGATATTCCCATTTAACTTGTGATATGATCTCTGTGATGTTTTGTCTCTTTCTACTTGTTGTAAGTGCTAATTGGATTTCAGCTGTGGACTTGGCATGCTGGTTTGGGGTTGCGTTCGCGCACTCAAATCTAATTGTCAGTTCGTGCCACTGCAAATCCTTTGAAAGCATAGAATTAACAGTGTGTTATTTTAATTGACATTTGCTAAATTTCAAATATGAGTTATATCAACATGCAGGGAATGTATCGTGTACAAAATATTTTTCATAATTGTGAACGTTTAAGGTCATTAGCTTATCACATCTGTACCACTTTAGTTCAGTGGGATAGTGTTTCAATCCTCTTTGCTTCCATGTGTTCTAATGTTGATTGTTGTTACGGTTTTGAGGGCACTGTTTTGCTTTTGACTGGAAAGACACTATTGACATAGAACGCCCACACTGTCTCCCATCAATCTAATGTTCTAATGTTGATTGTTGTAACGGTTTTGAGTGCATTTTTTTGCTATCGACTGGAAATACACAATTGACACGGAACGCCCACACTGTCCTCCTTCAAGTGAGCGACTGAGTCCTCTGCATGCTTTTAGCTCTGTTACTATTAAAAATCTCTTGCTCCCATGCTTTAACGATTTTTTGCAATGGTTTAGAGAGCATTTAGTTGCTATCGACTGGAAATGCATAATCAAAGAGCAGGGGAGATTTACTTGTCTTTGCTATCCTATGATTGATGTTCTGGTTTAGACGGCATTTAATTGCTATCGACTAGAAATGCACAATCAATGGGACGCTAATCAGTTCTTGGTTTGTCTTCTATGCCTTTCCATCCTTTCTTAATAACTAATATCTAGCTCAGTTTTAATATTGTTTTAATATGGGTTCACATTTTGTTCCAAGTTTCATCGGGTGACAGTATGCTATTTAATCCCTATCTATTTATCAATCTAGTTTTCTTGACTGTTTTATATAACAGGGAAGCAAGCTCTTCCTGAGAGATCATTGTATGAATCCCACTGTTTGCTACACTCGCTTTGTCCATCTCAGGGACATAAAAAGAACAGAATAGTTGGAGCAACAATATATAAAATCTTCACAAATGTATTATAGTATTTGCAGGGCCGGGTACAAATCATATGATTAGTGATCTTGTTGAACTCCTTTCAGCTGTAAATGGTAGATTATAAGGTTAAGCTGTAAAACAAAAAATTACTGTTCAGAAGTGTTAAGTAATTGTACCTTTTAATTTTTTCAGATCCAGTGAAATGCCTAGCCACCTAGTTGTAATGTGAGTACTAACTTCAGGGAGTTTCTCAACAGCAGTGGAATTGTATTTTTAACTTCAAGTCGCATTTTATTTCAATTCTGAAAAATGAAAGATAGAAATGATGGAGATGCACAACTATCCTATGTGGTCTTTGTATAAGTCTTCAATCATTTTTGTAGTAAGCGATATTTGTGATGAAGGATTGAAAATATTCAATTGTCTTCCATATCTATTCGTTAAGTGCTTATAGGATTACAGCTATGGTCTTGGCATGTGGAAGTGGGGTTGCGTACGCGCACTCAAGTCCAATTGTCTAATCGGCCATAGCATTCCTCTGATAGCACAGATTGTTCAGTTCATCAACAATAATGGTGCATTGTTTGTGGTGTCAACACTATTTGTCTAATCTTATTTATTCTAGCAAGGAACAAATCATAGTAAGTAAGGTAAAATTTACCTGGTATCATTTTCAACATTTAAATACTCAAAATACTAACAAAATTAAGCATGAAATGGTGACTGCTTTCATGTTGAAAATAATTCCATGTCTTTTTTGTATTTTTTCAGATCACTTCTTCGGCTCTTGTGAGCATTTATTGTGTTTGTGAGTACATCCACCAGGCATTTTTACTTAAATTGCTGTTTTAGAGTTTAACTGTCAATAAATGTTAGAATAAAATTAAATCATGTGTGCCACTATCCTGTATGGTGGTCTTGGTAACTCATTTTTAAATCATTTCTGTATCAACTGTTTATTGGGGCATAGGCTGTGAAATGTCATGTATCTTTTCTATCCTTTCCCTTTCAAGTGCTGATGGAGATGTAGCTTTGGACGTGGCATGAGGCATGTGGATTTGGGGCTGCGGTCTTGCACTCATTTCTTATTGTCTAATGTCAGTTTGTGCCTCTGCGAATCCTCTGAGAGCACAGATCTGTCAGTGTATTTTTTGAAAGTCAAATATGTTTAATGACATAAGTTGCTGTGAGTATAAATTTCTGAAGGTTTTCTTTAAAATAGTGTAAACAGTTTTGAACTTCAGGCTAGTGACAATTAAGTGTAATAAATGATTGAGACGCACAACTACTCTATTGGTCTTTGTGTTCGTCTTCAATAATTTTTGTAGTTAGCGATATTTGTGGTTAAGACTTGACAATATTCAAGTGTCTCCCATATCTATTTGTGAAGTGCCTATAGGATTACAGCTATGGTCTTGGCATGTGGAAGTGGGGTTGCGTACGCGCACTCAAGTCCAATTGTCTAAT